ATCGCTTTGTGTATCAAGTTTGAAGAGTAGTCGGCTTGTGGAGGCTCGGTCAGCAATCGCGGCCCGGGGGTTCTGGCACCTTCCAGTTTCAATATTTTAATCATACGATTTTTAGCCAGGCAGCTCTTGGCACTGTTCACGTTTCCTTGCTGTACTGACAGGTCGAAACGTCCCCCGTGGAAACCCATTTCTGCTTTGATGACGGAAGTCAGTGGGGAAAAAAAGAATTCACATGCAGGAATCCACAGAAATCGGCTTTACAGCCATGTTGGCAAGGAAAAATGCCAGCTCCTGTCATCACGCATGACGGAAGTACCACACAGCCACGCCGGGCCCTGCCCAACAGTGTGCATGCGTGGGGGGCGTGGGTGGCAGGGAGGACTTGGCCAGCGGGTGGGGCTCAGGCCCTGGGAGAGGGGAGGGCACCTGGCAGCGAAAGGGCCCCCAATCCCAGCTCCTGTGCCACACGGGCGACTGCTGGTGGCTGTGACTTCGACACGGTCTCCGATTGGCCGTAGAAGCCTGGGAGAAGCCGTGCGGACCTGCGTGCGGGCAGCTCCCCGAACTCCAGGGGCAGGCCGCCTCGTCTGCCCTGATCCGGGGTTCGCGTGTGGCCAGGGCCTACCTGGGGAAGAGGCCACGGGCCCAGGAATTCTCCCTTACAGGGAGGACAGGTGCGAGGGGTGTCCCCAGGATGTCTGTGACGTGATGAGGGAGGGTCTGAAAGGGTCTACGCGTCCAGCACTGGGGGGCAGATCGCACACCCCGTGGATCCCTGCTCAGACCTGCTGCTGTCCAGGTGCCTCAGAGGGACGCTTAGTGCCGTGGGACCTGTTTGCAGCCATGTGGGGCGAGCGGGGACACAAGCCACACGCTGTTTGTTTGTTTGTTTGTTTTTTTAAGATATGTAAATTCTTTTTAAAAGTCTGAGGAAGAAATCCACCCATCGAGAAACTGCGGCTCATGATGCAGCCACGATACTTCAGGTTTTCAAGCTGTTTTGTTCTGCTTTTCCGGATTGTCCCAATTTTCGACCGTAAACGAGTGTGACTTCTGCAGTGACGATGCTCCAGGTCACCTCCACCGAGGTACAATTTAAAAGAAGATGAGCCCTAATCTCAAGGGCACCTCTCGATGAGTGTCGACAAATGTCACAGCCTGTTTATTCACGCCACAGTCGATTCAGCAACCCCTCCCCCCAAAGCTTCCTCTTGGCCTTTTACAGTTGATCCCCGCCCCCCAACTCCCGCCTCGGGCACCACCCATCAGCTTTCTGCACCAAACGTTAGATTCGTCCTTTTCTAGAGTTGTCATTAGATCTTAAAAATAAATAGTAACTATGGCAAAGACAGCCCGAGAGTAGCCTTTTCCCACCTCTATATGTTGGTCTCTACATAAATATTGATGTCTCGACCGATCATCGATTCTGATTCTTACATTAACCCTGAGAATCAGGCATCTTTTTTGCTATTTTACAAATAAAGAAACGCAGGCTCCGAGAAGTCGTCTTTTTCCCACTCTTCCAGGGCCCTGCCAATTTCCTGGCTAGCGGGAAGGCCTCTTTTTGGAACGATGACCATTCTAGAAGATTCTAGCAAAAATATAGGGCCCAGGCTCAGGAGTCCAGTGTCGGCTGGGCCACGAGCGAGCGGTGTGGCTCGTCCCTTCATCGGAGTCTTCACAACCCTTTGTGTCCCGAGCCGGACATTGCAGTTGTCATTTTCTGCTGTAGACTTGCACCAACGCCCCACCCCGAAGCCTCTGCAGTTACTTCTCGACCGTGGGGAGGGGCAGGGGACCTGGGGGTGGGGGCAGGGGACTGCTTAAGGCACATTCGTAAATTTCTAACCGTAGAGTGGGAAGAAAAGCGATTATTTTCATAATGGAAAGACTGGGCTGAAACCGAACCAGATTTTCTAACCTGGGTCAGAAATGACGAAACGTTCCTTGGCCACCGTCCGAAGGAGCACGCAGACGGACAAGCTCCAGTCAAAGGAGTGTGACCCCAGGGAAAGGATTTAGGGCAGTTCAAAAGATCCTAGCTGACCCCAAATCCAGAACAAAGCCACCCAGCCAAGCCCTTCCGGACCTCTGGGCCTGAGACGGGTGGGGCCCCGCCTGGGCTGCACTGGGCAGCTGTGGTGACCTGGACTCTGCTAACATTGCTCTCTCCACTCAGTAAATGAAATCTCACCCGGGCGGGTCCACTGGCCCAGCCACCTGGACCAAACCAAATGCAGCCTGAAAAATAAAAATCAGCCCAACCCAGCTCATTGGGGGCTGTAGGGGTCCCGGGCGCACAGACTTGGGAGAGGTCTTCACATACGGGCGACTAGGCAGCTCTCACCTGGTCAGCCTTAGCCGCAGCGCCCCCTGCTGGCCAAGGCTGCCTTTCCTCTGCCCCTTTCGGCTTCCTCCAATCACACAGACCACAGGTACCGGCGAACCTGCCCAGGCCCGGGTGCCCCGCCCACCTGGGTGCAAAACCTCCCCGGCTGCCTGGCCAACTCTGTCAATCTCCGCCTTTGCACGTGTAGCACGGATTAATCACCTAAACTCTCAGAGCACTGCTGCGGCTGTGAAATGTCCAGCACACCGCGGACAGACCGTTGGTGGCTGGCCTTCATTCATCACCAGCTACGCCCCAGGCGCTTTATGTCCACTCTCCCATATGACCCCAGCAGAAGGCCGGCAGCAGGCAAGAGGAGGCAACAGGCCTGGCAGGTTCATGGCCTGCCCAGGGAGTGGCCCAGCGTGGACCTGTGCTGCAGAGGGTCTGACCCTGTCACCCCCGCCGCCCCCACAGCAGGCCACACCACGTCCCCCAACACAGCATGGCCAGGATTTACAAGCCTGACGGCCTGGGTTCAAATTCCAGGTCCGTCATTTACAGGTTGTGCAGCCTTGGGTCACTCTGCCATTTTTCTAGGCCCCTCCATCTGTTCAATTGGGACCGCAGAATGTCATGGGCTTTCTCGTGGGGAGTTAGCCGAGAACACCTAAAAAGTGCTCAGAACAGAATGGAAAGCTGCGGCCTTTGCCATGCGCCTCAGCCCCCAGGTCACAGGCCTCTCTCTTCCCACCGTGGCCCCAAGAAGGGCAGCTGAGGAAGGGGTAGAGCCAGAAGCCGGCGTCCCCCCTTCTCCCGCCACCCCCCCAGGTCTGATTGGGGGCGCGTCCCCCGGTACAGCCCCTGCCATCCTCCTCAGGCCTTGCATTTATCCAGGATCTTTAAAAACGAAAGCTGCAGGGGAGGGTAATTAAGTTTAATAGAAGCCGCCGTCGATTTAAAGCCACAGGGGGGAAGTAATTAGATTTAACAGAAGCCACGGCTTTCTGAACCAAGACACACAGCGTGGGGGTCCCTGGTCTACAAAGCCTTTGAGATGATGTCTTTTTGTAAAGACTTTCCTGGTGACATTTTCTGCGCGCTCCGTCATTAACGCCAGTCACTGGCTGGGATATGGACATGGCCTTCGCTCATTGAAATTCATTAAGCTTGGCACTGCTTCCTCTCCCTGTGTCGCCACCGTTTGCCCTCCCATCGCCTCTGCGCCGAGCCACTGCGGCTCTTCCCCAAAACCGGCCTCCTGGGAGTGGGAGGTGGGGCTGGAAGAATAATGAAAAAGAATCGGTGTGGAGCCAAAGCCCCCTGGGAGGACCCCTCTCCTTCCCGCCTGGGCCTTCTCTGGATGCTGTTTCCATTTTCGGAGCATATTAAAGGCCTCTGGTTTGCAGGAGCCACTTCGCTGAGCGGCCCCTATTTCTCCCCTCTCCCCGGGTGCCAGCTCGACCCCCGCTGCGCGCGTTAAGTGCCCCCCTGCCCCTATCCACCAGGTAAGAGGCTCCCCGCCTCTCAGACCGCACTGCGCTCAGGGACCCCAGGACTGGCCCAAAGACAAAAGGCATCTCGGAAACAGAGGCGCGCCCGGGCCTGAGCTGGTAAATCAGTTTCCCAGTCTGCACTTTGCAAGCAGCTCTGCCCGCAAAGGCCCCCTCACAACGACCGCCCAGCCAGGCTCCAGCGCCGGGGTGCGCCGCGGGTGGGGCGGCGCGTGAGCCGAAATCCGGGCTTAAGCGCCATCTAGCGGCGCCCGCGCAACGCGCCCATTGTTTCTCCGAGAGCGAGACTGCGCCCGGCCCCCCGTCGGGGTACAATTTACCCGGATAAAAGGGGCCGGGGTCGGAGTGGGGGCAGGGACCGCGAGAACACAAGGTGGGAGAACGTGAGAGGGTCCGAGCTGCAGGGGAAATTCTAATGGACGACTTCACGTCCGCGGACTGGAGGCCGGGCGGGAGCGGATGGGGCTTTGGAGGGGAGACGTTTTTCCAGACAGGCTCGAGCACAGGCCGCTGCAGGCTCAGCAGCCACACTGAGACCACAAGGGATGCAAAGCTCAGCGCCCCTCAATCTCTGGTCCCGGGATTCCTGCCTCCGCCCCTGCTAGCGCCCCGGGACGAGCGCATTTCCTGGGGAGCCGTGGCCTGGGGGCGGGGTTCCGTTGTCTCCTTTATTGCTTTATAAAAATCAAACTCGCCCAACCTAGAACGACCTGGCCGCCGGCGCCGCCACTTCGCGGCGGGTTGGAGCGCCCCCACCTCCCCGCCCCCGAACCCTCCCGCAAAGCGGGGCCTCCTCCTCCTCCTCCCCTCCTCCCCCAGATCCAGGCGGCCTGGGCGGGGTCACCCAGACGCAGCCCAGAGAGGGGGCTGGGGCCGGAGGCGGGGTGTGAGTGGGTGTGTGCGGGGGCGGGGGCCTGATGCAATTCCGATAAGAAATGCTCGGTGTCGCGGGCACCCACCCGCCGGGAGGGTAAGACGTGCTATATAAGGCCGCCGGCCTCAAGTCGCCGCGCCGTCGGAGCAGCAGCGCACTAGGGGTGCACGGCTGTCTCGAGGGCTGCGGCCACCTCCACCACCTCGGCACGCACAGTCTCGCGTCCCGGCTGCCTCCCGCACCCCAGCCGCCGTAGCTGCACCCGGAGCTCGAGAGAGGTGCCATGCGGAGCCCGTGCGCTGTAGCCCGCGCCTTGGTCCTGGCCGGCCTCTGGCTGGCCTCAGCTGCGGGCCCCCTCGCCCTCTCGGACGCGGGGCCGCACGTGCACTACGGCTGGGGCGAGGCCATCCGCCTGCGGCACCTGTACACCGCCGGCCCCCACGGCCCCTCCAGCTGCTTCCTGCGCATCCGCGCGGATGGGGCGGTGGACTGCGCGCGGGGCCAGAGCGCGCACAGTGAGTGCCCGCCGCGTCCCTCTCCTGCCCAGCGCCCCTTCTTTTTACCTTCTTCGGCTCCCGCGGGGCTTCCCATCCCGAGATCGCCAGTTTGGGCACATCCGAGTTCGCCCTCCCTGGCTCCCGGGACAGCGCGAGGCGCTGGGGGAGGGTGAAACGTGTGCGTGGACCTACCGCGCCATGCGTTACTCTCCCTTCACCCCTGTCCCCCTCACCCCCGGCTCCGCGGACCCCTCACTCCTGGGAACCCTAGGCTTTGACACCTCGGCGTTCCACTCCCCCCACCCCGAGTCCCCAGACAGCGCGGGGAGCTGGGGGAATGGGAGAGGGGCGCGGGCCCCTGCTCCGACCGCACCCACATGGTGCGGGCCCCCGGGTCCCGGCTGTAGCTTTTTGCTTCCCTTGCACCAGGTTTGGTGGAAATCCGGGCTGTCGCCCTGCGGAACGTGGCTATCAAGGGCGTGCACAGCGTCCGATACCTCTGCATGGGAGCCGACGGCAGGATGCTAGGGCTGGTAGGTGTCACCACCAGGCGGGACGCGCTGGGACGCGGAACTTACGCCTGTCCCCGGACAGGGCCTACAGGGAAAGGGGGTCGCGCTGAATCGAATCCAGAGTTCCCTGGCTTCCTCCGCTGGGGCCGGCATGGAGCTCCCAAGGGAGTTCGACAAAGGCCGGATGAAGGAAACTAACGTTCGACTTTTTTCTACAGAAGTTTAGGGTCCCGGCCAGTGGCCAGAGAATGGGTGAGAATCGCCTTTGCGTTTCACGTTGAGCCAAAGGCCGTCTCAGTCGGACATTGGAAAACCCATTACTCGGCTCTGGTTTTAACCAGGAGGACGCACCTCGGGCCTTTTCAGCTGGGCCAGCTCGTGGGTGGTCCTCGCCTCCGTGCCCCTCCCCGGCAGTATTAAAAAAAAGAAGAAAGAAAGAAAACGGGTATATCCACAACTGAGATCTTTATTTTAAACGGTAAATCTTCAAACAAGTTAGAAAAAAAGCCACATTTGGGATAGGGTAGGTTTTTTAAATTAATTTTTATCGACTAGAAAAACTGGTTTTTGCCGACGCGTAAGAATAATATTCCAGTGCGTTCTCATCCTCATGTCCCCCTCACCTGTGCTGCAAATGCCTTCGGGGAGGCGGGGGGATCTGGCCGTGGGCTGGGATGGCCCAGGTATCCACCGGGGACTCAGGGCAGGGAGCGTTCCGCTGCTGGGTCTCTGGTCTCGGGGAACAAAGGCTGGGAGTTCAAAGGGAACCCTTGCCCCTCCCGCCGGGGCACACAGAGCAGGCTGTGTGAGGTCCAGGCGGGGTGCAGGGCCTCAATACAGCCCCGCTGGGCCAGGGGCTCCGTTGGAGGGGACAGTGTGTGTGTGTGTGTGTGGAGACTGAGACTTTGCCTGGGGGGGTGCCCCCCAAAAGCTGCAGATACGGTCCTCCCCCCGCAGCGCAAGTCTTTTTGGTGTCTCAAGATCGTGCTGTGGCCCTGACGCGTTTATTCCGTTTATCCAGAGAGCCTTTTTCAGGTTTTATGGCGGGGTCCTATGTGAAGGGATAGGAGTGGAGGCTAAGAACCGAGGTGGTCAGCTGGCTGAAAGCTGACACCCAAAGCCGCTCTAACCCGCAGTTGCAACTTTTGTTATTGTGATTGGGGTTGGGGGTGGATGTCTACCTAAAATCCAGTTCTGCCTCTTGATCTCCCTGGGCTGGGTTAGCAAAAATGGAGGGGGTTTTTTTGTTTTTTTTTTTTAATAAAAAAACCAGAATCCACATTCTCCTAGAAACCTGAAATGATTTAATTTTTCTGTATAGAGAAGAAAATGAGATGCCCATTTGTCCTAAAGACCCAGCAGAGTACCATAGTCTATCATTTGGCTTTACTTCTCTTGTTTGTCAGTTTGTGGCTTTATCCCGTGCCTGGGCTGCAGGCCTTATCAGGGCCTTATCAACACAGCGCTCACCCACCTGCAGTTCAGCGACCTTTGTAGGCTTGGGCAGAAAAGTGACTGGGTGCCTCCTGGGGTTGTTTACCGCCCAACCCTCCTGGCTCCCTGCCTTGGGCTGTCCTCTGTGTCCCCGAGGGGTAATGACTCTCTAATTGTAGACAGAACTTACTCGCTGGCACCTCTCAATCAACTATGAATGGTCTGGGTCCAGGCGCTGGTTTCCCCCTTCTCCGAGCATTTCCGGCCCTCCCTGCTGGGTGCAGGCGCTGTCCTGGGCCTGGGGGAGGGGGCTGCCTTTATCCAGAAGATCCTGGCAGGCTGCCTGGAGGGCTCTCTGAGCAGAGGGAGTGAGGGCCTCGGAGGGGGCTGTCGGTTCTCACAGGGCACCAGACAATAAGGCCTGAGAATGACTGGGTTATTTGGGTCTGAATGGGAACTAGATTCTTTAATCTGGGCTCCAGATCGAATTACGTGTGATTCTTAATTAAAGGACAGTTGTTTAGCCTTGTTTTCCAAAGTGAAATTTGTCCTAAACTGGATAAAGTTTAGCCAGTGGAATATAGGGGGCGGGGGGAGGGGAACTCGACATTTTAATGTCAATATTTCAGGGTGAGGGAAGCTCATGTGCGTGTGCCTCTGGTTTTATGGATGTTGTTGCTCAGAACAAGACTAAGTTTAAAAAGTGACATGATGTCTTGAAAAATATAAAGGGTCAATGTAAACTATATGTAGATGTTGGGTCGTATACTTGAAATACGTGGAATAAATACCCGAGTGTGTAGTTAATGGTTATAAAATATCAAGGTGTACGAAGTATATGTAAATTTCTGTAAATGTTGCATAAAGTATATTTAATATATACGCCTAATGTTATATTTAACATTTACTATAAATGTTAAGATATGACAGAGGAAATATATTCATTCGGTGTAATAACTGGTGTCAGAGGCACCAGACCTGAGGGGATCACTTTGTGACGTCTATGGATGTCTCATCACGACGCTGTGTGCCTGAAACTAACACGGTCAGTGTCAGCTGTAATTGGAAAATTAAAAAATGAAACGGTAAAAACATTTCACATATTATAATGTAATATATGTTCAGTGCGTACGTGTAATACTTTCTATGTACTTCATACGTGAACATACGTTATGCTAAATATGTTTTATATTTAGAAAACATTTTATAAATGTTTTATAAACTTAAATTTATAAATA